AGTTGACGTTACCGAAGTATGAACTACGCAGTGCACTTTGCACTCCAGACAACAAAGGTACAGAACAAATCTGGGCTCATCCTGTCCCATCATTCCTCGCTCCTAAAACCAAATTACACCAAATGAAATTCACCTTCTACTGCAAACCTCTCTGATCTTCATTTTGCATATTGGACAAGCAAAACGTATTTTTATATATACGCACAGTATTGGCAGCAATTCAGCATTGTTTTTACTGATATCACAGTGCCAAGTATGGCGGACTGTCAGGGGGAGCAAAAAAAAGGGACGCCAACGAAATTAAAAATTGAAGTTTGTTGAACTGGTGTTTTGGAAGGAACCGATATATGCAAGAAAGCAATGCACTGTGTTTTAGGAGGAGCCGAAAGGCAAGAATGAGGAGCAGGGGCAGCCGACAAACACGGCACAGGAAGCCAACACAGGGGTGGCGCCACTCACGCGGCTGGCAGCAAAGAAAGTTACGGCCAAGTAAGTCACATCAAATTCAAGACATAAAGCAGTGCTAAATGCCATTTAGCCCATTCTGATGGAAAAAAACGTCCGGTAACTTGCTCACCCTGCTGTTTTTCTTCTGCCGAGTTCCATGCTGCTGACCTGACCCGCCAACCGCAGAAAGACTTCCCAACCGCACCGAAGAGGGGGCACCAAGCGGGATCCTTCCTTTTTTCCATTTCGCATACTGGACATACAAAACGTACGCATTTATATATGCTATAAGGGAAACAGTGCTAAAACGATAGCAGAAAGCTGCATCTTAGACAGCGCTGGTCTTGGTGTCCAAAGGGGCCAGTCGAGGTTTGTTGGATATTTTCAAATTCTGTGCGACTAAATGATTTACAAAAACAACCGTTTCTTTCCGTCGCTGCTTTTTTAGTGATCCGCTAATTTTTGCATGCATTTTTGACACCAATCGATGGCTTACTCACACCGCTCGCCACCGTTGCTTTAAATTTTTGTACACGCTAGCATAGTGGGTTAGGAAACTGGAACGTATAAGAGTAGCACGGGAGCCGAATCGCTGAACGAATTATAGGCCACTGAAAAACTGGCCTAGTTGGACTAAATCTCCTCATGAACTATGGCTTCCTCTCTATCAGCAGCGCCTATGTTGGAAGATTTATGAATCCACATGAAGTAATAAATTAAAGTGATTATGCCAATCACTGCTGATGGATATGCGTGCCCCGCTTCTCCTGCACTTGTTAATATACGCAGTGTGTTTTAGAAAGCCGCAGAAGTAAAGGAGCAGAGGGAGCGGCCAACCGATGCAAATGAGGGGAAGAAAAGTGCCGCCCAAAAGCGCCCACCAGCCGCTAAAAAAGCGGGCAAGAAGTAGTTAGCAGGAAAATGATTTAAGTACTGGATTTTAATTACTTTTCCCAACAAGTGCTGGAACTGACCAATTCTTAAATGATAGAATTAAAATTTTTATTAAAAACTCTTTGAATCCAGTAACATCCTCAAATTATTATAAAACGAAGGAGCTCATGGTTTTAAGGAGAGTGCATGGTTCTTTAAGGGATCAGTCAGTCTGTGTCCACATCCTGAATGCATTCATACAGTCCCTAACAATTTCTTCCACAGATTCTAATGACAAAGAATTCAGACCAACCGCATCGAAAGTTCACAAGCAGCCTTCAGAATCGGTTTATAAAAATTCTCGCATTAGCTCGTAAACGTAAAAGAGCAGTTAAATGGAGTAATAGTTCCTCAAATTTTTGTAAGGAAAATTTCTAAAAATCGTAATTTCTCAAATACTATCTGTTAGGTAAAAAGTAACAAAATGTTAAAAAAGGATACATAAGTTGTTTGTGAAACAGATGTGCGCAGATGTTTTGCAAGTAGCATTATGGAGCCAATTCAGATTTAAGCAAATGCAAAAAGGTAGAACTTACAAAAGCGTGATGGTACCTGGCATTATTTCAAGGGCATAAATGGACGGAGGCTTTTTTTAATGATATCTGCATCTCTTCATTGGAAATCCTTGTATGCCAGGTTCAGCGTTTGTGAAAACAAGGAAGGCGGATAAACGAATGGACAGACGCGACCAGTTGATAATTTAATTTAAAAAAGAATGAAAAGAAACAGACCTATTTCGCAACGCGAGCCACTGTAGCCGAGATTACACAAGCAGTACGGCGCATCCCGGGTACCAATGCAAATGCCACGATTATTGCAGTCCTCATATGTACACTCGTCGTTACATCCAGCTGAGTCAAGAAAATGAGCAGTGAATTCTCCAAGAAACCAGTGCGACCGCACATTTTTTCACATATCTCAGAGCAATCGATCTTTGTTGTTAACTTAGGTTG